TCAGATCCAAAGCCATAATCACCTCTTTCCTTCAGAAATCTCGAAGGTCTGCTTCGTATACCAATGCCTTGGCCCTGGCGCCCTGATTAAAATGAGATACTGTTTCTGTTGTCTGGAGGATCCCTCAGCTCCCCCCGAGATTACAACAATGAATGAGTTTATGGCAGCCTTAAGACAACAATGTCAAGATCCTAGCCTAGAAGATAAAGCCACTCGAGCCGTAGAGACAATGACCCTAAGAAATATGAAGTTTCAAGATTTTATCACGCTCTTCGAAGATAATATTGTTGACTCAACATATGGGTTGTCTGAAAAAGGTGTTTGGGAGAAGATGCTTGAGCGTAGACTCTCCTATAAATTAAGAGATATTCTACTTTCTGCTTCCGATGCACCAACCGAGTACCACGCTTTCGAAACGTACCTCAGAAAAAAAGATGCCGGAATTCAAGAAATGAGGGCGGCGTTCCCTTCCACTTCAACACCAACATCGACCTTTGCTCCTACTCCCAACTTGCTCCCTCAAAGAGAAAAATCTCCCATGTCTTTTAGACCTATGAACCAAGGTCAATCAATCTCACCCTGGTCACAAAGAGCAAATGAGTTAACCACCTCGCAAGGAGGAACGGCAATGGATCTGGACGCAATTTCAAGGGAGAAGGGCCCTGATGGACGCCTAACGCCACAAGCCAAAGATGCCCGACGCTCACTAGGACGCTGCTTTAGATGTAACACAAAAGATCATCTCGCCCTCAATTGTTTGTTAATGTGACAGAAATCGAGTTGGTAATGAATAAATCGATTTATTAAACTATATGAAGAGGAAAGAAATCTCTAGCTACTACTAACAGGTACTTATAACGTTTCGTCCGCTTCGTGAATCTGCTGACTGATAACTTCCCCCTAGGCCTAATACTTGCTACTGAGCCAAGTATTATCAGGAGCCATTACGCTATGATGTTGCTTCGACCTCCTGGCTAGTAGTGCTATTTCATCTCTATTTGCCCATCCTTCCTCTTTCAGTCTTATCGTAATTATTCCTAATTAAACGCTTAGGTTTCCTCCTAAGCTAAAACAACGGTCAAACCGTAACAGTTAAATAATTCGGATATTTCTGTGTCTACAGTGGAAAGCATATCAGAAGGATCGGAATTGCTAAAAGGTTAACTCCAACAAGAAGTCGCCCGTTGGAGTCGTTAACAGTAGAACACGCGGGTCTTACTGAGTCTTTATCCTCCTCTCATCACATGTACGTAAAAGTAAAAATAGGTAATGAAACTCTGTATTCCCTTGTAGACACCGGCGCTTCTGGTTTTGCTTTCATTTCTGAGTCCATATCTCAATGCCTTCGCCTCCCTTGCCACACCTTACCTTCGCCCGTTCTTCTTATTGGACTTGAAGGAAAAAGAGGACCACTGGTCACACACAAAGCGAGTTTTACTCTGACCATTGGAAGGCACACGGAAACTGTTACGGCATACATCACTAACCCCTGCAAACATGAATTATTACTTGGGCTCCCTTGGTTGGAAAAGCACAATCCTTACATCAACTGGGAGGTACATAGCATTACTTTTGGTGAAAAATGCTTGCAAAATTTATGCTGTCAATTTGAGACCACTGTGCCATATGAAAATTCAGTTACTCCTACGGCCGCAAATAACATACCAGATAACAGTGTTGCCCTGCCAAAGTTATGCCTAGCTATTCGAACAACTTCACTTAGTGAATTAACTGCCAAAGAATTCTCAGCACTCAGCCAGCAAGTTGACCATGAATACTTCGCTCTTAGCCTTCGAGATCTCGACATATTAGTTGATTCAACAATGGAAAGAATGCCGACAATATTGGTTGGACAAACTAAGATAGTTTTGCCAAAAGATGCAGACCCCAAAAAATATTTACCTCAGCAAAATCACAATTATCTCGACGTTTTCGACTGAGGACGGGCCAACAATTTACCACCTCATTGACCTTGGGACCATGCAATTGATCTCCAACCTGGAAAAATGCCCCCTGCCTCACAACTGTATTCGATGAACCTTAACGAACTCAAGGCCCTCAGGGAGTATCTTGAAAAAGAGCTTGCAAAAGGGTTCACGCAGCGGCCGGAAGTTGATTACCATGAAACATTCGCACCAACCCCAAGACCAGAGACAGGGAGAATAATGCTTGTATTGGCTCATCAATTTGGTTGGTATAAACGCCAAGGAGATGTTCCGACAGCATTCCTAAACCCTGACTTGACTATGGACTTGTTCATGGAAATGCCCAAAGGATTTGAAAAAGAAGGACATATCCTGCATCTCCGCAAAGGCTTACATGGACTTAAACAAGCAGCTGCCTTGTGGTATGATGATGTAAAATCTACATTGGCAAACTCGGGCCTATATCCGACGCATTCAGATGTGTGCCTCTATGCCAATAATAAAAAGGATCTGTTTGCACTTTTACATGTTGATGACTTCCAGATAATGGGACCGAGTCTTGCCAAAATAAATTACATCATGCAGGCTCTATACAAGAAGTACAAGCTCAAGACTGTTGAGACAAGTAGATTCCTCGGCATAAACATCAAACAGGTTGACAAGAATACGCTTGAGCTCTCTCAAGGTCAATATAGTCGCAAGCTACTTGAAAGACATGGACTAGCAGAATGTAAATCTGCAGCCTCACCAATGGAACAACTCATGGAACCAAATGAATCACAAAGCTCGGCACAATTGAGAACAGAATATAACTCAATTGTTGGAGGTCTCCAATATCTGGCAAACAACACGTGACCTGACATAGCATTTGCAGTGAATCATCTTGCAAGGTTCCTGGTCAACCCATCTTTCGAACATTTTCATGCAGCCCGTAGGATTCTTTGATACATTGCACAAAAACCTGATAAGGGCATTGTTTTCACCAAAGGAAGCGGAAAACCTGTTGTAATTCTAACAGTCCTGCATCTGTTACACTAGTCATGTACTATCTCGTTTTCGTTTCCGTTATTCGTATCATTTAATACTGCGCCACATCTATTTTCTATAACATTAATTAGTCTTGGCGCTTAACACAAGATATGTTGGAAATTATGGTATATGCATGATTCTGTCTTACACTCAGCTAGCTTGGGGGTCTACTGGTGGTCAAGACATACCATCACCATGATAATGTTGCCATACTGGGACATGGGCGCATATCCTGGCTTATTTCTAAATTCGTCTCAGTAGGACTAATTCCTGTATATATATGTAGTGTTCTCCTCCTTCAGAAATCCTCAGTTCATTACATTTACTGAATATCTCTGAAGGTAAGACCTCTTACAGTAGTTACTCCAATTTAAGTTCATTACATTTACTGAATATCTCTGAAGGTCTATTCATACCCTCTTCGTGTCACCCTACCAAGCTTCACCCTTAAGCTCTATTCAACTGCTTCGTTGTTCGGCATATATCCTTCACCTCCCTATACCATTCCAGCATTCCTCTACGATCCATAACCTCACAATAAAACCAACCCTCGAAGCGTACTTAGATGCGGACTTTGCGGCTGATCCATCTACTAGTAGATCAACGTCCGGCTCTCTCATCAGGTTAGTATCTGGACCGATATGTTGAAAATCACACATGCAGCAAGAGGTAGTTCTTTCCACCACCGAGGCCGAGTTTCTTGCCACCACAGAGACATGTCGTCAACTTCAATGGGTAAAGTCACTATTTGAGGAATTAAGAATCCTAAATTTGATTAAGGGAGCTGAACGTACGGTTCTGCACGTGGATAATCAATCAGCTATCTCGCTGATCAAAAATCATGATAACTATAAGTGCTCCAAGCATATAGCGCTTAGGAATTGCTATTGCCGAGAACAACATCAGGCAGGAAAGATTACCGTAGCATATGTAAAATCCTCAGACCAATTTGCCAATAGCTTAACAAAAGTCAAGTCCCCAGTTCAGATCAATTAAGATCCCATAACATAACGGTCATTATAAACAGGGGGAGTTTTGTGATATACAATATGAATGGGCGTGTGTAAGCAATGAGACATTACGTGAATTAAACCAAGCGTGGCTAGCAAGGCACGGCGAGGGATTAGCCGAGGCTCGTGCGTATGGTATTAGGAACACTTCTTTTGTAGAGATAGATAGGGCCGCTTCATCCCTTTCATATACACATATATGTACATATAGATTCTAATTAATTTAATCTCCACACCTTGCTCTACCCTCAGCTCCGCAGACTATTAAGCTCCAAACTCCAAGACGTCGTACATAACCTCATAACCATAACACGAAGTGAAGAAGAATTTAATTCTCTTCGGAGCGGAAAGTTGTGCTTAAGATGTGAAGAACCTGGAAACATATCCCAATTCTGTCAAAAGTATGGACCGCCTAAGCGTCCTACTGAAATTAACAACATGCAAGAGCTAGGTAGTTTCTTGGAGCAAGGTATTGTTAAAAGTTACCATTGCTGAGTTACCATAGTTGAGGTGGTTATGATGAAAGAGGGCAATCTGTGCAGCTACAGTAAAGTTTAATGACCCTGATCAGACTAGCAGTATATTCCGTTAAATTTCCGTTTTGCCTCAGGCATGTACCAAGAATATGAAGATTATAGATTAGTTGTTGTAGATAGACGGGTGGGTATCAAAGTGTTGGAAGCTGATTTGAGAGCCCATCATTATTATTATATGACCTTTACTTACGACTCAGACTGAGACTAATATATCAGTCCTCTGTTAATTACAGCCACGCTCAGAGATATCCGAGAAGTCCATCTAAATTTACAACACGTTATCAGCACCAAACCGGCTGTAATCACAAATGAGCACTTACATGTCATTCCAGCCTAATTGAAGCGCGAGTCAGCTCCGTGATTTTATTGACACTGATCATATCTACACGGACAAACTTGATGAAGCAGTCATCCAGAGAATACGTGAGGCGGCAGAGAAAGAACCAGAAGAGAGTGTGCCATCAGATAAAACAAAGCGTAAAGGGAAGGCCAGGAGGTCCATGATTCCGCGATTCCCACCTGAATGGGCGAACTCTAGAGAAGCTTTTCGAAAAGCAGTCAGACAATCTGAGTATCACAAATATTCAGCAAGTCCTCAAAGAAACGTGACAGGATCAAACTTGAACATTGATCACTTACCCACACAGTCGAAGCAGGATACTGAGCCGACTCGATCACCTCGGGGAAGTATATCACTCACGAATAAGCTTGGATACAACTTGCCTTCAAGAGATACCATGTTTTTGATAGTCCCACGTGAAGTGATGTCTATTTTTGTTGGTCTCGAAAAGTTGGACAACAACAATATGAAAACGTGGGAGGGGCATATGAGAGATAGCCTGGAAATCTGTGATCTCTGGGACATTGTCATCGGAAATGAAAGAAAGCCATCAGATAAATTCATAGATAAGGCTGAAGCATGGATTTACCGAGATAAGATTGCGAGAGTAATTATTAAAGTTCCCTAGGCCCCACTGACTACCATCAAGTGAGACCAGCGAGAACTGCCGCTGATTTAAGGGAAACTTTGACCAGTCTTCACCAGCCAACAGGAGCTCAGGGAAAAGTAGACATAATTTGGCAATTCTGGAGCAAACAATGCATTGAGGGTGCGTCAGTGCGACAACACATTGGAGATATACAGACAACACACATGGAATTGGCAGAAATGGGTATTGTTATAAAAGATTATTTACTAGCTATTGTAATGAGTAAATCCCTTCCGCCATCATATGACAAATGTGTTGCTACAATTTTTGCAGGAATTAAGGACCTTGAGCAGGCAGACTCTAGATATGTGGCCAACAAAATTTTCGAGGAAGAAATGCGTCGAGAAAATAAGTCTGAGGATGCAAATATTGCATTCCCAAGAAAATATTGCTCAAACTGTAAGAAACCAGGACATCTGATGGAGGATTGTTATGGCATAGTGTTGTAAAAGTAAGAGCTTACGGAGGTTATTTAGCAGAAGGTTTAGGGATGATTATCAATAAATCAATATGAACTGCTGATATACTTGATATTCAGAACTATGAGGATTTAGGAGGTAGAAAGCGCTAATTATATACACATCTGAGGTAGCTAGACTCTTGCCTTATTTACCAAAACAGTATCACGGAATATTCTAGTCTCCTCCATCTAGTAGTACAATCTAGAAATACTTTCTATACAGTGCTCCATTGTTCCTCTACTCATCATGGAGCCACCTGGAAAGTTCTTCCTTCAGCCTCAGTGATCATTACACTTGTGCATCGTAATCCTAGCAATCACCAGCACAACACATAGGTGGTGGTAAAGAAGGACATGGGCCACGGCAGATTGCTAGAAGAAAGAAACAGGAAGCTGAGCGGAAAATAGGAAATAAACCATCAAGAGATAGTGTACAGGTAGTCGAGCAAGATTTCTTCAATCCTAGTCACATGGCTCTCGAAAAGGAGACTCCTGCTGAATATACTCATTTAACTTCTTACTCTTGGTCTCACGATTCTTGGATAGCAGACTCCGGTGCCAGTGCCCATATTGCAGTTAGACAAGAAATGTTCGCCACATTCACACCAAGCAATGGAGTTTTAAATGTTGCAGGTGGACTTACAGCAACAATAGAAGGAACAGGTGTGGTATACATGAGAGGACTAATTAACGGAAAGGTAAAAGATTTCAAGCTAGCTGATTTACTATTTGTAACCACTACTCGTTTTTGCTTGATTTCTGGACAAAAGCTAGACAAAGCAGGTGGAAAAGTCGAATTCGGCAATATGAAATGCGTTCTTTAAAATTCAAGAGGAAACTTGATTGCAACAGGCGCACTGGATGGCAACCTGTATCGGGTGAACGCCAAAGCCATTGTGAAGCAATATTTCCTAGCCAACACAGCACACACTTCAACAATCTCATGGTACGAGGCCCATTGACGTCAAGGTTATCTCTCCCTGTCATCATTGAAACTTCAATTTGGCAACAATAATGTAGAAGGAGTAAAGCTGGATGAAAATGAACCAGCCCCTATCTCTCTAGACTGTGAAAGTTGTGTCGCTGCTAAGGCACACCGGGCCCTGTTTCTTCTTGAAGCCCAGAGACGAGCTGGAAATTTTGGAGATTTGAATCATTCTGATGTATGGGGATCATCAAATGTAAAGCATACACCTGGGGGAAATCAGTATTTTATTTTATTTATTGACGACCATACAAGATACACCACAGTTAAACTCATGAAAGATAAGGTGTCTGTCAAACAACAAATAATGAATTACTGCAACTTTATACACACACAGCAAGGACGCTGGCCAAGGGAAATCAGGGCAGACAATGCGGCCGAATATGAAGGAACTAGAAAATTGTTCGAAGAGAGAGGGATAGAACTCAAACTGTCAGCGCTGCACTCACCACAACACAATGGCGTATGTGAAAGAATGAACCGGACGCTTTTGGACTTGGCACGAGCCATGTTAATTGAAATGAAGTTACCTGAGTGTCTATGGGGAGAAGCAGTTTTACATGCCTCGTGGATTAGAAACCGAAGTCCCACTTTGGCATTAAATGGAAAAACCCCCATTGAAATCCTAACCAGATGTCATCCAAATTTCTCGATGGCCCAAGAGTTTGGAAGAGCTACCAAGACCAAAGACACAACCAAAGGCACGGAAGGTTATATTCACTGGCTTCAAAGACGGTCCAAAAGCGATTAGATATTACAATGCAAATACAATAAAAATCAAAATCTCTCGTAATTACTATTTTTTGCCAACGGAAAATGTGTACCACAAAAATAGCTCTACAAATATTCCAATAACGCGCACATGTTTATCTGAAGGTGAGTTGCAGGGAACACTGTCTACTTCACCAAAAAGTCCTAAGAAGCTCGGTTCAAATCAGTTTGAGGGGGAGAGTTTTTTTGAAATATGATATATCTTGGAATGCCAAGAATAACTTATTAGTAAGTCCGGCTAATTTGACTATCAAATTCCCCATTCTATATCACTGTTATCAATACATCATTCACCGAAAGTTTAATGCGCATTAGCGTTTATTTCACACTAGAATTCCAGCAGATGACTATGTCTTAAATGCAGGTTATAGTTTTCTTGTATCTATTACCAATACACATGTATTTAGCTTTATATTCCTGGCCAATATATGTGTGTGTACATAGATCTACATCTACATGGATCATTGTTGAGCGGATTGGTTTGCTAAAGCTTGTGGCTGTTAGGCACAGATTGTATCACTTGGTGAAGCGAGTGGGAAAGTAAAGGAGTCTTTAAATCTGTCATGGAGAGTTGTTAATTACTCCCACTAGGACACAGAGTGCTATATAAACTATATTTTGTAATAATAAAATCTAGTGGTTGGTATTTACGTCAAAGCGCATTACTACTAACCTCACAATTAATGGGAGATTAGTGACGTGTCTTCTACACATCCCTGTCTTTACCATAATTGGAAGTACCAATTTCAACAATCATAACTTACGATCCATGGACATTGATAAATACTGGTCAAAAACCACAGTTGATAAGATATGCAAACACGCAATCTCACTCTTATCATCTCGGTTTTACTCTGAACCATACATCTAAATACAATTGTCTCCACTCGGATCTTCCTCTCACAACCTCATACAAGACTTACTGCATTGGTCTAACTGCTGACACTAATTCTGCTACAACCTCCATCTTTGCTCAAGCTCATAACTTTAACAAGTTTGGCATTTAATAGTGGTAATTCCGGGCCAATCAATGGTGAAGATATGTTGGATACCAATCCAAAATCTCTGAGATCTATGACTGCATCAGGAAAAGCTACCTGTAAATATTATGCAGACCTGGCTAGGTTTAATCCGAGAAAGTACATCCGGAACCCAAAAACAGGAAATGCAGTTTATGTTGTGTCTGACAAACGTCGAGGTGGAGAATTTTATGCAAACTTGCCACAATTTGCAAATATTGCACACACGTTGATGGCTAAAAATGGCGACAACAAATTGCCAAACATTATTCTTTTTTTTTTTTTTAATTCATAGTGTATTCAGCTATCTAGCTATGACACATCTTTTCTACAATTCCAGTCCCCATAACTCCTACATTTCAACTAACTCAATAACTAATTCATAAAATTCCCACTTAGATATCCTAATTTAATCTCCTTTATGTGCTGCCATGCACTTGGATGTATCTGCCAAACACCATTCAAGAAGCGCGTGAACATAGCAATTGTACAAATTGGGAAGAAGCTGTCCAAAGAGAACTTGATAACCTGAAAGAGAAGCATACATGGGAACTAGTTGATCCACCAAAGGAAGGAAATGTGATAGGAAATTGATGGGTCTTTACCAAAAAGGTTGACAAAAATGGAACGCTTTATAAGTACAAAGCTCGTCTTGTCGCACAAGGACATACACAAGGATATATATATGACTACTCCAATACATTTTCTCCACTTGTGAGATTTGACTCGTTACGCCTCATCCTTGCGATGGCTTACAAGTCAGACAAATGGATATTAAGGGAGTGTACCTCAACAGAAATTTGTCTGAAGAAATATATATGAGACAGCCCAGAGGATATGAGGATGAAAGTAGGAGAGTTTATCGTCTAATACATACTATTTATGGATTGAAACAATCAGGTAGAGAGTGGAACAAGACCCTTAAAGAATTTTTGGTTGAAAAAGTGGGCTATACCCAACTCACAAAAGAGCATGGTATATTTTTTATAAGTGACATCAAGGGATACGACATCATAGCTGTTTGGGCTGATGACTTTCTTATTGCATTGACGAGCTTGGATCGACTCAGTAGTTCCAAATGCGAAATCAGTTGTAAGTGGGATGCCACAGATCTAGGGGTACCAAAGTTATTACTGGGAATACAGATTGAACATGATCCTGAGACGAAATTGATACGGATTTATCAGGAGCAATATATCTTGAAAATTCTTCGTAGATTTGGAATGGAAGACTGTACACCGGCAAATACATCTCTACCTCCTGGATCTATATACACGAAAGCCACAGAAGACTAATCTTTCAAAAATGCTACAAAATATCGAGCAGCAATAGGATCTTTGATGTTTGCATTGGTAGCTACACGACCTGATATTGCCTATGCAACAAACCTTCTCTCTCAATTTAATGGGGTTCCGTTTCAAAGACACTGGAATGGAGTTAAACATATATTTTGATATCTCAAAGGTACAATTTCCACAGGTATATTGTACAGTAGAGTGGGGCACTCCGAGCCAGATTTTATGCTCACGGCATATTCTGATGCAGACAACAGAAAGGGATACAATCGCAAATCTATTTCTGGATCAGTATTAAAAATAGCAGGGGGTTCAATTAAATGGTCTGCTGAAAAACAGCAACTGATTACAGTATCAACCACCGAATCGGAATATGTAGCCGCCAATCTTACCGGAAGAAACTGTTTATTCCTACGGGATATAATGCAAGAATTGTGATTCCTGCACAACAAGCCTATACTGCTGTTTATGGACTCAGATGGAGCTATTTCTCTATCGAAGAACCCAGAAAATATGAGAGCAACTTTACATATTGACAAGATGTATCACTGGATTAGACAGCATGTTGAAGAAGGTACATTTAGTCCTGAATCTATTCCGGGAACAGAAAATCCGGCAGATATGTTTACAAAGTCACTCAATAAATCATCATTCGAATGTCATAAACTTGACATAGGAATAATATGAAACACTGCATGTCTCGAGGGGGAGTGTTCAAAGTTACCATTGCTGAGTTACCATAGTTGAGGTGGTTATGATGAAAGAGGGCAATCTGTGCAGCTACAGTAAAGTTTAATGACCCTGATCAGACTAGCAGTATATTCCGTTAAATTTCCGTTTTGCCTCAGGCATGTACCAAGAATATGAAGTATATAGATTAGTTGTTGTAGATAGACGGGTGGGTATCAAAGTGTTGGAAGCTGATTTGAGAGCCCATCATTATTATTATATGACCTTTACTTACAGCTCAGACTGAGACTAATATATCAGTCCTCTGTTAATTACAGCCACGCTCAGAGATATCCGAGAAGTCCATCTAAATTTACAACAGGTATGTCAGGAAAAGAATAGCCTCTAGTCATATTTGCAACTGGAGGGTATAACAGCTTGTGAGCCGATTTTTGTGTGTCACGTGATTGTATTCACGTGCTTCTATAATTCTACAGTAGTCTAGCTTTATTTTAGATCAGTTTAGCTGTGACTGGAGTATTCTAGTAATTGGTAGCAAGACTGGGAACTACTATTACTGGAATATACGAGAAGTAGATATCAGTCAAGAACGAGTATTCTAGAGATCTCCATATTTGTATAAATAGTTGAAGAAATACTCTGATAGTTAGCCATAGAGAAAATTATAAACTAACCTTGTATATCTGATTGCTCCCGCATCAATACCCGAACCGTGACAGAGGGCAAGGGAGTTGAAGAAAGACTTAAAAATGGAAAAAAATAAATTACAGGATGTAATAGGTAAATTACACGGCAAACCAGTTCTTATTGATGCAATAATCAATTCCACATCTATTCCTGCATTAGTAGTTCTTGGGTGTATAATATATTGAGTCTTGAGTGATTCCATTGCAAAATGTCTCAACCTCCCGTGCCTAAAAGTTCCCTCCAGGAAGATCAAATTAGCCAAAGATTCCGATGAAACTGCTAAACTGCTAAACTAATAGTGGATGAGATCTGCTGGACAGAAATCGACTTAGATGGAAAGCCCAGTACCATTTGTGGATATGTAATTGCCGGATTAG